AGTGAGTTTGGTTTGGTTTTTTGCTTGATTTTTTTAACAGATTGTTCTAGATAGCAGTCTCAAATATGTCTGCATCAAGATCACTTGGAGCATACTTTTAACATGTGTGTTCCTGGGGCCCAACCCCAGAGGTTGAGATCCTGTTAGGAAACCAAAACTGGTATCTATGAAAACAACCACAAAATAATTAAATGACAAACATACAGTAGCCAGTTAATAAATATTTTTTGGTTGATTCAACTGACCAGTGTAGTAGGAATTCAGTGTAAACTAGATAAGTTCTGAACTTCATAGAGGAGGTGGGACCTTAGGGTTGGTGGGAGAAAGGATTTAGACAGCCCAGAAGAGCAGGAGAAGGCATTTATATATTGAAGTGTGGGAAGAGCAGAGGCTGAACAGATGTGAAAAGGCAGACGTGAGTTGGGTGGAGGTGGGGAGTAAGATGAGTGTGACTGTACAAAATGCACAAATTCTTGTTGTTTGTTCTTATCCTGTGTATTCAGAGAGGAGTTAGAGTGGTGTGTAATAAATGTCACGTATTGGATATGTGGGCCGCTGTACTGAGACATCTCTTTGCTCTCAATCAATAACCATGACTGGCTAATAGAATTGGGTGGGAAGGTGGACCTTTCTTTTTCTTGGTTCTATTTGAGTTCTTCCTGAGCTTGAAACTCACTTGAGAAAGACCACCTACCTCAGATAGAGAAGAATGAGCCTTCCATTACAGTATATAAATAGTTGTTATAATTTCTAAACAAACTCTTAAGATATGTTTTTGTGATTTTTACAAATATGGGTTTCAGAAGGAACAGAAATTAATGTGTTAATGTGTTTTGTTCATTCAGTCTGGTCATTAGGCTGGGCTTTGCCTCCTGCCCTGGAAGAATCCCCTCTTTTTTTTTTTTTTTATTAGGATTTGGGTGAAGATTTACAGAGTAAATTCACTTTTCATACAGCAGTTCACATACACCTTGTCTCATGTCATTGACCAAAATTTACAATGCAGCAGCTCCCCTCCCACTTCCTCCCCACAGTCACCTCCTCCCAGTGTCCATCCCTTCATACTCTTCGAGAGGCCCATTTTCTGCCAACCCTGTATATGATCTTGGATACACTCTCCATTTAGACATACATAATTGTTTAGCTTGTTCACCCATCTATCCGTCCCTATACCCATATTTGCTTTCATTAACAACTCAGTATTGTATTTACAAAGGAGAATCCCCTCTTTTTACCTAGTGAAACACTGTTCCAACTGCTGTGATGGAGTCTCACCTAGAATGCAGGCCAAGTCCAAAGCAGGGTTAGCTAATCCAGCTTAGAGATGTCAGGGTCTGGGGAAAGGCTTTATGCAGGAGTTACATCTGAGCAGAATCTTGAACACTGAGTAGGAGTTGACCAAGTGGTGCTCCAGGAAATGCAGAAAGCTTCTGCAAAGTCACATTGCAGGAGATGATACAGCATGATTGAAGTTCGGTCCAGCAGAAGCATGAGATGCCTAAAGGGATATTGAGGCCAGAGAGGTGAATGTCAGGACTGTATCTTGACCTATCTCATGGACCATACTAAAGGGTTTGTGTTTTGTCAGAAAGGCAACAAAGAGCTGTGGAAGAGTTTAAGCAGTCTTATTTTGTGTTTAGTGTGGCTGCAGTGTGGATAATGGATCGAAGAGGGCAAGGCCAGAGTTGGAGAGGCAAGGGAAGCTGAGAGCCTGGTCTCGAGCACAGAGGTGGAATAGAAAGAAAAGTTCAGATGGGGGAATTTTAGAAAATAGATCCAAAAGGATCTTAGTGACCAGTCGGGTTTGGCAGATGAGGAAAAGTACTGATACAAACAGTGAATAGATGATGATGCCACACGCAAAGGCCTGGGATACGGGAGGAAACTCAGTCTAGGGGGGACGATGATGAGTTCATTTAGGACATGTATTGACTTTGAGGTGATTGTAGAATGTCCAGTGGACATTTCTGGAGTCCAGGAGAAGTATGGGCCAGACATTGTTATAAATGGGAAAGATAACTTGAGTGTTGTAGTACTAGGTGATTTCATCCCCAAAATATTTCTCAAAGCATTCACTGCTTTTCCATCTTGGTCCAAGCTGCATGTTGTCTTCTAACTGGTATGTCTGTTCCACTTCAGTCCATTCTTACACGGCTGGTGGAGTGAAGTGATCTTTTTAAAGTGAGATGCAATCTTACAATTCTCTTTCTTAGAATTTTCCACTGACTTCCCATTGCTCTAGAATGGAATTCAGACTTCTAAGCCTGGCTACAGGGCCTGTGTGACTTGGCTTTTGTCTGCTTTTCAATCCAAACTCATCGTAAACCACTCTTCTTTCTTACTCAGCCATGCTGTGGCTTACTGGCCACCTTTTCCAGCCTAAACTTCTCTTCTGTCCTGCTGTGTGCCATGTTCTTTCTCTCTTCTGAGCCTTAGTTCATGTTACTCCCTGTGGATTACCCTTCCCCCACATCTGGCCTGGCTAACTCCTCATCTTTCAGGTCTTCTCTTAGATGTCATTTTTTTCAGAGGGGCCTTCTCTGACCTCCTGTGCTCTGTTAGGGTCATCCTATATTTTTCTTTCCTTAGCACTTAACACAATTTAATAATTCCACATCTATTTGTTAGGAGCTCTGGTAGCATAGTGGCTAAAGCACTTGACTGCTAACCAGAAGGCTGGCGGTTCAAACCCACCAGCCACTCCTCGGAAGGAAGGTTGGGCAATCCTACTTCCATAGTGATACTGCCTCGGAAACCCAAGGAGGGGTCGCGATGAGTCGGGGCTGACTCGACGGCACATAACAACAACAACAACATCTATTTGTTTAGTATGGGCAGTCCCTGAATTATGAACGAGTATCACTCTTTAATCTCTTTAAGTAAAATTTGTACATTAGTCAAACAGGTATGGTTCATAGCTAATGTCAGTCAAATGTTTGTCTTAGTATTTAGTGTACTTTCTATGCATAAAAAAACATTAAAGAAGCATTTCCAGACACACTAAAACATCTTTAACATAATGATACAGTAATAATAATACACCTATTCCTCACCAACTATCTCTTTATCTATCATTTAACATTTTAAAAATCTGTAACTAGTAGATTTGCTACTAATAAAAAATCTACTACTGTATCTATTTTGCACAGTAACAACCCTCCTGACCCCACAGACCAGCACAGCCTTGTCCAGGGTATGTAGGGAAAGGAGCAATGCCACCCCCAGGGATATTTAACCCTAGTCTAGAACCCATGGGGCACTTGATGCTCCAGCTCCTTCTAGCTTGTGCCTCCCCTCTTTCTCTTCCTGTCCTCTTCTCAGCTCTCCTCAGTGAGCCCCACCCTCCCCACCTCACTCAGGCACCAGCCAGCAGGCACTGGAAGTGGGCAAGCGGGTGGTGCTTGCCTCTATGGAGCCATCCTCTGGCCAAGGGCACTGCACATTGCCCAGCCTGAGCTGCACTCCTTCTCTCCCAGAGGACAGCTGTTCAGCAACCCACAGCAAGCATTTGGGTTCTGGTGAGCAGAGCAAGGACAAGCCCATGATCACCATTGTGTGGAGGGGCCATGGACACCCAGCTAAGGAGAGCTGGGACCAGGGAGGAGGGGAGACCAGGGCAGGAGATAGCATAACACTGATTTTCATATAATGACCTGGTCTTTGGAACCTAATAATTTTGATAAGTGAGGAGTAGGTATAATGTTTTGATAGGCATCGCAAAGTACACGTTTTCACAGACATTTTGCAGAGGTATCCTCTTTTGCTTTCCTCTGTGAGGTAAATTGGGACAGGGAGATTGAAGTCAGTCTCCCCTTTTACAGATGGACATTCTCAAGGGTGGGGACAGGAACTGTCCCAGGTCATGACTGCTAGCCACTAAAGAACAGAGAGTTGTAGCTTTTCCTCCCTTGGCTCTCAGTGAGGGCCTAGACACCCAGGACCTTGCATGACCCTTCCAGGAGCGACCATTCAGAAAGCCCCCAGTCCCTTCCACACCCAGCTGGGGGCTTCCCCCGCCACCCCAGCCCAGTCCCTTCTGGCACATGGACACCTTTGGAAGACCCTGATTTCAGAGCTGCACATAGCATCCAGTCAATGAGTGGGACCTTCAGAAGGATGCCCTTGTTGCCATCCTGGGCCAGAATCAGGCTGCCAGGTGCGAGAGGCTTCTCCACACCTTGGCCCTGGCTGCCACAAGAATTGCATTGCATGTTTAGTGGCCAGCCCAGGACAGTCACCCCTATGGGTTGGAGACAAAGGATGTAGCTCCTTTCTCTACCAAGTCCATCTTCCTCCCATGCCTCCCACCTCATTATGGTATTCCTGGTCCCCCCACCCGGTTGTTATTATGAGCCCTTTTATATACCTCAAATTTTAAATGTAGGTTTGACAGGGATTGCTTTGTAACAGGGTTGTACTGTATGTAAGTCAGACATTTGTAACTGGGGTCTGCCTGTATCTGTCTCCCATACATGTTCTGTGACGGCAAAATCCACCATGTGTCTTGTTTACCATTGTACATCGGTACCTGACACAGTCTTGAGTACGTAGTAAGCACTCTGGGAATATTTGTGAGTTAATGAATGAATGAAGGTCATAATCTTTGTTTTTGGTCTTGAAAAACTCGCAGTTTTTATACTGTCACCAAATAAAGTTGTGACTTAAGCTTTATCATTTATGTAGTTGATTTCACCACTTTTTGACAGTTCTATTACATTTTTAACTGTTACTGAATACTCTCTGCTTCCAGGGGACTGGGATGTTAGAATTGCAAATGTAATCATAGTATTTTTCCCTCCTTGTTGCCTGTATTCCTTATGGTGGCTCTGGTTGCCACGGCCTGACCCATCATCTGTCTGACAGTGGTATGACTGCTGAGTTTTGAAATTGGAAAAACTGATGCTTGTTCCCTTGAGTTGGGCATTTGTGGCAGACTTTAGTAGCAGTCTTCTTCAGCCCTGATTTGGGAAGCCTCCCAATACGTGCTATTTGCATTGCAGCTGTGGGAAAGTCTACCTTTGTGAAGTTACTCACGAAAACTTACCCAGAGTGGCACGTAGCTACAGAGCCTATAGCAACATGGCAGGATGTCCACGCTGCTGGCACCCAAAAAGTAAGTTTTCAGCTGTGGTGGGTAGTTGGCAGACATGGTTGGGTAAACTAATAATTTAATTTAGGTGAAGTAGCCCAGCATGAGTCTCCTTTTTAAAATAACTTCATTCCAGAGAGTAGACCTCATACACCAGAGAGGATATGGCTTGTTTGGATATGTTTAGTTTTGATTTTTGTGGTTTTTATATGTCTGTGTAAGTAAGTGACTGCTTCTGTTCTTTGTGGTTTCCAAAAGCATATCTAACAATCCTAGCTTTGAAGATTAGTTTTTTTCATTTCTACCTTGAAGTATTTATATTATTATTACTGAAGGTGACCATCAGGATTAATTATTAGTTGTAGTGATCTTAACTTATAAACTCTTAGAAATTCGGAGGAACCTGAGAGATTACCTGTCACACCTTGAGTCAATGAAGAAATAATAGTTAATGTTTATAAAGCACATATCCTGCCAGACACTCTGCTAAGCACTGTACATTTCACTAGACCTTGTGCCTTAAGCTCTACTGTCAGGTCTGCTGCTTTGGGAAAGGCCACAGGGTTGGTTTCAACACCAGCCACAGCAGTGTGAGCAAGGAAGGACTGGTTTGGACATGAACCTTAGAGACATGAACCTAAGGGGGTGGCAGTACCAGGCCTCAGACTCCATGGGCTCCTCCTTCCACCCACCTGGGACATTCACTGAGTGGCTTCTTCTGGTTTTTAACAGCTCTTGTATTGAATCACATTGCCTCCCCGCAACTCTGACTCATTGGTTCAAATGTTGCCTCTTAAGTCTTTTAACTTTCTACATGGTAATTCTTCCTCTAGTTGAAGGCAGTGATTTGTCTGCTTCCTCTTCCCCTCTGGTCTTCTTTCTTTCAAGCCAAATACCCCTGTTTTCCTCCAACCTATTCTTTATTCTGAAGTAACTTTGTCTTGGTAATGAGGTTCAGTTTGTTAGTTTCTTGTTGAGAGTTTACTAACAGTAGTGCTTATCACTAAACAGGAAGAACATTCTGAATGTAATCTATATGGTAGAGAATATTGTATTTCAACCCAGAATTACTCTGTTCTGTTATTCCAGCCCAGAATTCTGTGACTTTTTTATTTCCGGCAGGTACATCATGCTTATTGAGGGATTTCCTTTTTTAAGATGTCTCTGTACATGTATGTGTGTGCCTGTTTGTTATGGGGGAAGCCAGCCACCATGTCATGAGGACATTCAAGTAACCTGGTTAAAGAGGCCCACACAACAAAGAACTGGAGCCTTCGCCAACAACTATATGCATAGTCTTCTTGGAAGGAGATCGCCAAGCCCCAGTCAAGGCTTCAAATGACTGTAGCCTTAGCCAACATCTTGACTGCAACTTCATGAGTAACGCTGAGCCAGAACCACCCAACTCAGCCAAATTTCTGCCCCACAGAAAATATGTGATAATGAATGTTATTTAAGATAACTGAATTTTGGCATAATTTGTTTCAAAGAAACAGGTAAATAATACTTCTGCAGTTCCATTATGGAGAGGTAAAAGTTACTATTGATGTCTTTGCGACTTTTCTCTGTGGAGAGGAAAAGAATTATATATAAATACATATATATATTTTTTACATAAATATATAAAACACGAGGAGCCCTGGTGGCACAAGTACTCGGCTACTAATTAGAAAGTTAGCAGTTCAAACCCACCAGCTGCTCCTGTGGTAGCCTGCTTCCATAAAGATTTACAGCTTTGGAAACTCTGTGGGGCAGTTCTGCTCTGTCCCGTAGGGTCACTATGAGTTGGAATTGACTCAATGGCAATGAGATTTTGGGTTTTATATAAAACATATGTATGTTTACTTTTTTAAATAAAAATTGTCATTGCATCTTCATGTCACTTATTGTATAAAATCTTCTTTCCACACTAAAGTCATTTTAATGGTTGCAGTATGTTGCATAGTATGAAATAGCATCATTTAGTTATCCAGTGCTCTATTTTAAATACTTACTTTTCTCATTTCTCCCCATCATAAATAGTGTTGCAGTGATGAATATCCTTGTAGCCAGATGTTATTTCTTTTTAGTAGCTAAATTTTGTGCACCTGAGTGTTCTCTTAGGCTACTCTAGAATTGGAATTTTAGTGTTAAAAAATTATGCATATTGTTGACATTTTTGATAGATGTTAGTGAATTTCCCTTCAGAAAAGTTACACCAATTTCTTCATACTCTGAGCAGTTCTTACAAATCTGAGAGGCAAGAAAATGGTATGTTATTTTCTTTTCCATTTCTTTCATTACCAGTAAGTTGAACAATTTTTTTCATGTTTATTGGCCATTTATTATTATTCCCTAGTGAATTTCCAGTTCAGATTCTTTACTTTTTTTCCCCCCTCTGGCAATCTTGATTTTTTGTAATGGCTTCATAAGATCTCATTGTGCATTAAATATATTATCTCTGTCATATGTTGCTGATATTATTCCCAGTTTGTAATTTTTCTTTTATCTTTATATATAATGTGCTTTGCAGTATAATAACGTTAGGTTTTTATGTACCAAGCCTGTCCATCCTTTTCTGCCTTTGATGTTAAAATTTAAAAAGGCCTCCTATAGTACAAGGTTATAAAAGCATTCACCTGTATTTCTTTCTCTTGTTTTTTTTCACTCTTTATGTGACTTTAAAAGATATTGAGGGCTGACTTTACTGTTTTTTTTCTAAACGGCTATCAACTTGTCCCAGTAGTATTCTTACTTAGTTTAGTCCTGACTGCTTACATATTTTTTATTATGACTAAAATCTTCTTTCGTCTCATCTTTTCAAACCTGGTTATGGCTGTTTTAAAGAACAAGCAGTTGATTGTTGTATTTGTCTTATATGGCTTAATTTTTATATTGTATTTATTTTTCTCTGTTTGCTTTTGGTTTTAGAAAATAATAACTAGTAACTGTTGCTCTTGAGTTGATTCTGACTCATGGTGACTCCATGTGCGTCATAGTAGAACTGCTCCACAGGGTTTTCAATGGCTTACTTTTGGGAAGTAGAATTTCTGGCTTTTCTTCCGAGCACCTCTGGCTGGACTCTTGCATTTCAGTTAGCGGCTGAGCATGTAACCATTTGCACCATCCAGGGACTTCTAGAAAATAATGTTATTGTTATTGTTAGGTGCTATCAAGTTGGTTTCAACTCATAGCAACCCTGTGTATGACAGAATGAAACAGTGCCTGGTCCTGCACCATCCTCATAATCGTTGCTGTGCTTGAGCCCATTGTTGCAGCCCCTGTGTCAATCCATCTCATTGAGGGTCTTCTCCTTTTTTGTTGACTCTCTACTTCACCAGGCATGATCCTTCTTCAGGGACTGGTCCCTCCATGACCAAAGTATGAGAAATGAAGTCTACCCACTCTTACTTCTTTGGAGCATTCCCGCTATACTTCCTCTAAGACAGATTTGTTTGTTCTTCTGTCAGTCCATGGTCTATTCAGTATTCTTTGACAATACCACAATTCAGATGCATGAGTTCTTTTTTGGTCTTCCTTATTCATTGTCCAGTTTTCACATGTGTATGAGAGGATTGAAAATACCCTGGCTTGGGTTAGGCACAGCTGTCTTCAAAGTGACATCTTTGCTCTTTAACATTTTAAAGACTCGCTTAGTACAATACATCGTTTCATTTTTTTGACTGCTGCTTCCATGGGCATGGATTATGGATTCAGATAAAATGAAATCCTTGACAACTTCTATCTTTTCTCCATTTGTCCTGATGTTGCTTATTGGTCCAATTGTGAGGATTTTTGTTTTCTTCATTATGTTGACATGTAATCTGTACTGAAGGCTGTACTCTTTGATCTCCATCAGTAAGTACTTCAAGACTTCTTCGCTTTCACTCATTTGGCATAACAAACTACACAAAAACATTGTTCTATATCTTACTTTGGCGAGTGTACTGGAGTCTGAAAAGCTTGCAAATGGCCATCTAAGTACACCAATGAGTCAATCCTTGTCCAGAGCAAAGAAGAATGAAGAATGTCAAAGATGCATGGAAACAGTCCACGGGACTAGTGGACCAGGTGGACCTCAGCCTAAATGATCATGAGACCAGAAGAACTAGATGGTGCCCAGTTACCACTGTCAGCCACTCTGAATGGGATCAGTGCAGGAGATCCTGGATAGAGTGAGAGAACAATGTGGAACAAAACTCAAATCATAAAAAAAAAACAAAACAGATTTACTGGTCTGATAGAGCCTGGTAAAACCCGCAAGACTATGGCCCCAAGTAACGCTTCAGGTGTAGAACTGAACTCACTCCTGTAGTGTCTAGCCAAACAATAGAGGCATATATAGTGAACATTTACATCAGGTAGATACACTCCTTAGAAGGATCAATCGTGGGTGAACAGAAGGACAGTATTTGCACAGAGAGACAGCTCAGGGGGCAGGAATGCATAGGAAAGAAGGATACAGTGGTAACTACAGGGAAGAAGTGGGAAGAGAGCTGTTACACTGTAGGGGATTGCAGTCGATGTCATGAAACAAAATGTGTGTGAACTGCTGTATGGAAAATGAATTTGCTCTTTAAACTTTCACCCAAATCACAATAAAATTTTTTTTAGAAAAAGACTTCTTTGCTTTCAGCAAGCAAGATTGTGTCATCTCCATATTGCAGGTTGTTAGTAAGTGTTGCTCCAATCTCAATGCTGCATTCTTTATATAGTCCAGGTTCTTGGATTCTTTGCTCAGTTTACAGATTGAATAAGTACAGTGAAAGGATACAACCTGACACACACATTTCCTGATTTTAAACCGTGCAATACCTGTGTTTTGTTCAAATGAGTGCCTCTCGGTCTCTGTATAGGTTCCTCATGAGCACAGTTAAGTGTTCTGGAATTCCCATTCTTTGAAACCTTATCCATAATTTATTATGATCCACACAGTCAAATACCTTTGCATAGTCAGTAAAACACAGGTTGTTGTTATGTGCCGTCAAGTCAGCCCTGACTTATAGTATATTTATATATAAGTCAGCCCTGACTTATAGCGACCC